TTAATTTATTAGACCACGTTCTAATTTGGCCTTTTCAGCCCAACTAAATAGTAAATTAAAAAAAGATGAGAATTATGAAACATTGATGTCAATTCGGACTAGGGGTGGTAAACGAGCCGAGCCGGCTCGTGAGATCGACGAACCGGCTCGTAAAAAGCTCGAACTCGGACTCGAGGTTTTCGAGCTCGAGCTCGAGCTCGCGAGCTCGAGCTTTCTGACGAGCCGAGCTCGAGCCCGATTTTAGTTGTTCATCAGCTCGCGAGCCGGCTCGCGAGCCGGATTTATTAATATTTTTTTATTTTTTTTATTTTTTTTATTTTTTATATGTTATTTTTATTTAAAAATGTATAATAATATAAAATATTATAGAAATAAATACAAATATTAAAAAAATATATAATCACAATTTTGTGTTTATTTTGTAATTTTTTAAAATATTTTTTAATAATAAAATAATAATAAAATAATATTTAAAAAAAGAAAAAAAAAAGGGATTGGGCTCGAGCTCGAGCTCGACAAAATTAACACGAGCTCGAGCTCGAGCCAGAAAAAAGAAGAACTCGACGAGCTCGAGCCAGCCAAAAGAGGCGAGCTCGGCTCGAGCTCGGCTCGTTCACACCCCTAATTCGGACACACGGTCTTACAAAGTTATATATAAAGTTTTCCATACCGGAGGCCCTAAATATAAAGTTTAATAACATGGGCACTTTACATGTTACTCCTTCAATAAATACTTATTCATAAAGGGGTCCTGCCAAAAAACTATTTTACAAAAAGTTCCACATATTGTCAAGAGGTTTGTAAAACACTAAAATAGCCCCTCACATTTTAATATGCTCCAATTTCATCCTTTAATTTAATTTAACCTTAATCTGACCCCAAATTTCACAAATCATTCAATTTTGACCAAACCACAATTTTATGGACAATTTCCTCATTTGCCGTCGTTGGCCGCCAGGCAACCGTCGTGATTTTTTTTCTTCATGATTTTTCCGCCGATTTCCGGCGTTGACTTTTTCGATTTTTTTTTCTTCCTGATTTTTTCGCCGCCAGTTTCCGGTGTTGATTTTTTTATTCTTTTTTTTTTTCATTTAACATCCTTTTATCCCCCGTTTAAACAACAATATTGTTGTGGTTGACAGTAATATTAACTATATTACTTTTAAGCACAATAATATTAACTATACTACAGTTTAACACATTAATATTGCTATATTAATCTCTAGCACAATAATATTGACACAAAAAAAGTCATTATTATTGTGTAATAGAGTAATACTAATATGTTGACAGTTCAACGAAGGTAAACATAATAAAAGGCCAAAAAAATTAATATTGATGTGGTTGACAGTAATATTACTGTAACAGCAGTAATATTACCAACAACCACAGTAATATTATTGTGTTTATAATAATATTACAATAGTAGACAGTAATATTATTATGTTACTCCGTCAACAACTCAAACAAAACAAAAAATCCCAAAAAATAATAATATTGATGTGGTCGACAGTAATATTATTGTGTTTACAGTTATTTTACTGCCAACGAAGGTAATATAATTACGTTGACTTGTCAACAAATCAAACAAAATTAAAAAAAAACAAATTATAATATTGTCGCTGACTCTAGTTGTACTACCAACGACGGTACAATTACATAAATGTACTGTCAACGATAGTACAATTACATTAATGAACTGTCAACGATAGTATAATTACATTAATGCACTGTCAGTGACAGTATAATTACTCTTAATGACAATACAATTACGGTCAACGTTTAGCGGCATGAGTAAAAAAACGGATAACAAATTTAGGAGGAATTTTTTTTTTTTGAAAAAGTCAACGCCGGAAACAGGCGGCGGAAAAACCAGACCAAAAACAAAAGTTCGAAAAGTCAACGCCGGAAACCGGCGGCAAAAAAATAATTTTTGAAAAAAAAAAAATTTGGATTTTTGTGGTCAAAATTGATTAAATTGGGGTAACAATTAAGAATTTGTGTAAATGGTTGGGGTAATTTTGTCATATACATTATTTTTTTCTTTATTTATAATACATATTAAAGGAATGAGCTTATTGGCGAAAGAGATTAACCCCTGAACCTAGAATAATATGCACAAAAACCCCATAATATTAAAATTGGATAGTACGAAAATGTATATTTGATTAACAATTTGCATTTTCCAATTTAACGTTTGCATTCCTTGAAGTTAGGACTGGGACTAGGTTGGGTCGGTCGATTACCAGCCTAAAAATAGACCCATCCGACAAAACAATTTTGCTTAATTTTGTAAATCGTTGCCGACTCAACCTTTTGTTGGGAATTGGGCACGTGCACGCAGCGGAAAACAAAAATTTTACGTGAATTAAACAATTTAAATCACATAAAACACATGCTCGATTCGTATTTAAACAATTAATTGTGTACATTTGCGCTTCCAGCGAAAATTAAAAACAACAATCATGCGTATTAATTTAATCGACAGTAAATCAACTAGCATGCTCGCAGTAAATCACGAATTTCATATAAACACGAAACACATATAAATTTACGAAAACATACTACGAAAACAAACACGTATAATTTAATCTAATTAAATTAAAACCCTAATCGAATATCGGATTCGAAAGTTTACCTCTTGAAGCGTGAGGTAGGCACATGGATAGAAGCAAGACTGCTACCAGGGGCGGAGCTATGTTGTCTTCTGGGTGGGCTGAAGCCCACCCTGGTTTATTTTCTTAATGCAATTTTTTAATGCTTATCATGTTTAGTTAATTCTTTCATATGCTATTTTAATACTAATCCAAATAATTAGCCCACCCAACAAATCTGCAATGTATTTTAGAGAGCTCCAATAATTATATTTTGGACAATATGCAATTTAATTTATATAATTTAATAAAAATATACAAATTTCTATCTATTTTCTCTAAATTTTTGAAAAAAAACTCTTAAAAAATTTCGGGGCTCTACCCCCGAACCCCCGTAAAACTTTAGCCCACCCTCACCGAAAATCCTGGCTCCGCCACTGACTGCTACGGAAACCAATCCGTGCAGTCGGGAACGGCGACGGCGGAGCGACGGCGGCAGACGCGCTGGGGAGGGCGGCGCGTGTGGATCACGCGCTGTCTTCGGGCGGCGCGTGAGGGCGCGTGCGACGTCGGCTCGGCGGCTGCTTCTCGGCGATTGACTCCTCGATCTTCCTCCTCTCGGGTTTCACCTCGTATACCGAAATCAACTAACTACGTGGCACTAGACACGTAAAACTCAGAAAAACGGATGAATAAAATTAAAGGAAAAATACTACCGATAGTATTTTAGGCGCGTGAGCCAATTCCGGCGACGGCGGCGGCGGTGGGAGGGAGAGAGATCGGCCGTGTGAGAGCTTGAGCGGCTAGGGTTTGTGCAATTGTGTTGTGCTGTGTTCAAGATCTATAAATCATGTATTTATAGTGTCTTGTATAAAAGCTCTAACGGGCTTAAGTTGGACCGGGCCCAACATCTTAAGTTCGTTAGTTCTTTACTCGCTCGTTTCTCACAACTCAATGATTGGAAAATTGTAACGATTACATTTTCGAAATCATTGTAATGTCCTCGTCATTACGAGTGCCAATTCTCGATTTCCAATTTCTAAAAGTGGAAATCCTAATTCAGTGCACTTTCTAAATTTGGAAACTTCCCGATTTAGAAAGTTCATTAAGATGTTTGCCTATTCTTTTCCTTTTTCTTATTCTCATTCATAATTCTAAATTACGAATGTTGGACTCAATCACATTGACTTCCAATCATGCAAAGATTAAACATTTTTATCTTTGACCGTTTATTCAAAGATCTCGAGTGCACGGCAGTGTGACCCTCGATGGTTCAGGTGTAAAAAACCGTTTATTAAAAAACCGTTGACACCCGTTCGATTCCGGTTCTAACCTAACTGGTGGTCATGTCTACTACATATGTGGTGTTTGCAAAAACTTATTTAAAAGTAGAAGTTGGTGATTGCTAGTTATGTGGATTTTAAGTTCTTATTTGTGAAAGTTTGAGGTGTTTGCAAATATGCTGGAAAATTAACTTAATAGGAAAAGTAGGTCTATGGATGTTTTTAAAAAAATAGTTTAAAGCAACTTATTTTAAGAGAAGCAAAAGCAAAAGTTGATTTTGCAAACACCTAAAAATAAATTATGATAAAAAAAATAAAAAAAAAAAAAAAAAAAAAAGCTCAGAAGCTATTTCTGAAAGCTTTTGCAAACAACCCCTTAAACTACAACACAATTCTGTAAATTCATAGGACTTATAATTTATGTAGCACGGAAACTTCAACTTCTTAACGTTTCCGCGTTTCGGAAACTTTCGTGTCGGAAACTCGAAGACACCTACCAGACACCTTATAGGTCATTTTGCAATTTCTAAAAAGTTAGAAACATGTTTGAATTGCAAATTTTCAAATATTTTTGTTGTTTCCCTAATTATTTTCATAATGTAGTGATCGACAATTTGATAGTTGATTGCACAATTTATTTTGAATATGAATATAGAAAAAGATTTATACATAAACAAAAGTTTACATATATATATATATATATATATATATATATATATATATATATATATATATATATATATATATATATATATATATATATATATATATATATATATATATATATATATATATATATATATATCAAGTGTGTACAACTGCACACCCTATCGACTATGGTCGGGCCGTCACTGGCTCTACATATTAAAAAATTCAAAATTCGAAAAAAAGAGTTATTGATATTTGATCAATTTCATATATTTTTTAAAGCACATCATTTAACTATTAATTGAGCTCAATTTATTCGGTTGATATATTATTGAGGTTGAACTCTTCACACAAAACTTACAAAAATATATTTTCTCATATTATTTACGAGCTATTAAACAAATATTCTTTCACTATAAATTTGTGGCTAAAATAAACAATATAATGTCAAAAAGAATCTAACAAAGCTCCTATAAAACACTTACTAATCCACACACTAATGTCACACTCAATATATTCATGTCATGGGGCTAGTATTTAAAGTGGAGTTTGCAGAATCTTAATTCTCTCTCTCTCTCTCTACTCTCTCTCTCTACACTTAAAAGAGTTCACCCAAACACTTCAAAAAAGAACAGTACCAATTATGGGCACCACCACCACCACCACCACCACTCCTCCTTCCGACACCTTCCCAATTATGGAGTTACAGCAGTTGGATGCCGACGCCGCCGCTTCCTCCACCGCCGCCGCCGCCGCCGCGTCGGAGAGGGGCAAATGGCTGCTCAGCTCCCCCAACCCGCCATCCCCATGGCAAGAAATCTACACCTCCGTAAAAGAGACTGTTCTTATTTTACCCCAACCAAATAACAGACAACCTCGTACTAATACTAATAATAATAAATGGCCTATTCTGTTCTTACAAGCCTTGTTTCCAATCCTTAAATGGGGAAGAAATTACAAAGCTACAAAGTTCAAGAATGATCTTATGGCTGGCTTAACTCTCGCCAGTCTCTGCATTCCTCAGGTTCCGTTCCGTTTTAATTGTCGTTTTTCACCTTTGCACAAAAATTAAGAATTTCATTAAATATGTCTCGATTTTAAAAAAAAAAATTAATAAGAGTGAGAAATTAGTTTTAAAAAAGAACGGAAGTGTTGGAAATATTTAGTGACCGACGGAAAAAAAATAAAAAAAAAATCTCAAAAGTGACAGATAATAATTAATTAATTAATTAATAAATATCAGCTGATCTCATAAGTCATAACGCAATATAAATATTTATAATAATTATTTTTTGCAGAGTATTGGATATGCTAATCTTGCAAACCTTGATCCTCAATATGGCTTATGTAAGTTCAAATTTCACATAGCAAATTAAATGTTTTTTTTTTTATTCTTTATGAAATGTTTAATATATGTATATATATGTTCAGACACAAGTGTTGTGCCACCTTTGATATATGCATTAATGGGAAGTTCAAGAGAGATAGCAATCGGTCCCGTGGCTGTGGTTTCGCTGCTTCTATCTGCAATGATCTCTAAACTCGTTGACCCTACCGTTGACCCGGCTGGGTACCGGAGATTTGTTTTCACCGTCACCTTTTTCACCGGCACCTTCCAAGCCCTCTTCGGATTATTCCGGTTCAATAATTATTTTTCTACCTTCATTAAAAAAATTAATAATAATTAGCTAGTGTTACTAATTAATAATTATTTTCTTGAATTTAAATAATTGCAGGTTGGGATTTCTTATAGATTTTCTGTCACATGCTGCAATAGTAGGGTTCATGGGAGGTGCAGCCATTGTGATAGGGTTACAACAATTGAAGGGCTTACTTGGAATTACACACTTCACTACCAAAACTGATGTTGTCTCTGTTGTTGGAGCTGTTGCTAAAGCACTTATTCATCACCAAGTAATTCATTATTCTGATTTTTCTTTTTTAATTAATTTTTTATTTTTATCATTATAAATTAATTTTTTAAATAATTTATTTCAAGCAGTGGTTACCGTTGAATTTTGTCATCGGATGTACGTTCCTGATATTCATCCTAGCAACTCGATTCGTCGTAAGTTAATTAATTAATTAGCTCAATATATAACTTTAAAAAAAAAAAAAAAAACTGTTTATTCAACAAATTTAATTTTGAAATTGAAGGGAAGAAGAAACAAGAAACTGTTCTGGCTACCGGCAATGGCACCGCTATTCTCGGTGGTATTATCGACATTAATCGTTTACTTGACGAAGGCCGATAAGCACGGCGTGAAAATCGTGAAACACTTCAAAGGAGGGATTAATCCAATCTCAGTTAATCAGTTGGATTTTGGAGGTCAACATGTTGGTCAAGCTGCCAAAATCGGACTCATTTGTTCACTTATAGCCCTCACTGTAAGATTTTTGATTTTTAATAAATAAATTAAAATAAAAATAAAAATAATAATAATAATAATAATAACTAATTAATTAATTTATTTATTAATTAGTTTTTGTATTAATAACAGGAAGCAATTGCTGTAGGGAGATCATTTGCTTCAATAAAAGGGTACCATTTGGATGGGAACAAAGAAATGGTAGCAATGGGATTTATGAATGTTATTGGTTCTTGTACTTCATGTTACACAGCCACTGGTTAGATCATTTTCTTAATTATTTAATTAAATACATTTATATTTGTGAATAATTAATAAGGGTAAAACAGGAAAAAAAAAATATTTAATGCAGTATTGAAAATTGAAACCCTAAGTTGACAGATAATATAGAACAAAAATACTTCTTGAAGTGACAGTTATTTGTCGAACGAGCATATAGTTGGTACATCGCTACAAGAAAATGTAGTATTATAATATCGCGATTCGATAATACTAATTATTATAATTTATGCTTTATATTAAGTGACAAGATTTTGAATTTTGTCACCAATAATTCCTTATCACTGTCTCCTTTTCTAACAACAACTTTTGTCTTAATTTTATTTTTCTATATCCTTAATATTAAAAAAAATAAAAAAATTGTCACTCTATGTGACAATATTTTTGTGTTCGTTCAGGTTCGTTTTCGAGGACGGCGGTGAATTTTAGCGCGGGTTGTGAAACGGTGGTTTCGAATATTGTAATGGCAATCACGGTGTTGATATCATTGCTGCTATTCACAAGGCTTCTTTATTACACTCCGTTAGCTATTCTGGCATCGATAATATTGTCTGCATTGCCTGGACTTATCGATGTGAACGAAGCGTATAATATATGGAAAGTGGATAAGCTCGATTTTTTGGTTTGCATCGGTGCATTTTTCGGTGTCTTGTTTGGCTCTGTCGAAATTGGCCTTCTTGTCGCGGTACGTTTTTTATATTTAAGTTATTATTATCATATTTCTTTATTGCTTTTTTTTTATTATTGTTACTCCCTATGCTTTAAAATAAATGTGATTGAAGCTTTTGTCCATATATTGAAAATTTCATTACATATGAAGGAATTTTAGGAAAAAAGATAAATAACAATTAAGTGAGATGGTGAGAGTTGATTAATGTTTGAGAGAGTTGGACTCTTGAGTGTAGCGTTGAAAAATTAAAACATTTTATGCAGCATTGAAATTCTAAATTGACATGTAGTATGAAACGAAAAATTCTCTAAAACAAAACTTAAAATAGGACTAGGGATGGAATCGGATCGACATAGCAATTTTGGGAAAAACAAATCCAATATAAGTGATAGATTAATTTTAATTTCGGTTAAAAAATCGGAAATCTTTAAACCGGAATCGACAATTGATAGTGTTATTTTAAAAAAGAATCACAATAAAAAAAAACAAAAATTTAGATTGGATCGGAAGTTGGAATCTCATAACAGGTATTCCCATTTCAATAATAATAACTGAATAAATAAATCTAAACTTTATTGATTATTTTAATATGTTAGGTCATGGAACTAATAATTGGAGTTTGATTTTGGATTTAGGGGAATGTGAAGAATAATAATCGAAAAAATGTGTGGAAAGAGGTCTTGTGATTAGTGGGGCCCATCATATTCCATAGTTCTAAAGTTTTGATAATATGATGTGACATGGCATATTAGTCTACACAAGAATTTACTCAAAGTCAATGTGGTTTCGTATAGGTTTTATAGATGCTACATTCGGTGATATAGATATATTTATTGATCTGCACATAATAATACATATATTCATGCGTATGTATCTGCGCTTAATTGATAGTTATTTATATAGATGTATAGTTCAGATCATCTGATGTGTAACACAAGGTGTAGTTGTGATAATATGATGTGACATGGCATATTAGTCTTCACGAGAATTTACTCAAGTCAATTTCGTTGCGTATAGGTTTTGTAGATGCTAGACTCGGTGATAAACACCGAGTAATCTTAAATTATTGATCAACACATAATAATACACACATCCATGTGTGTATGTGCGCTTAATGACTAGTTATTTATATAGATCTATAGTTTAAAATCATCCGATGTGTTACATCAGGTGTAGTTTTGACAATATGATGTGACATGGCATATTAGTCTGCACGAGAATTTACTCAAGTCAATGTCGTATAGGTTTTGTAGATGCGATACCAGGTAATCTTGAACCATTGATCTACACATAATAACACGTACATTCACGTGTATATGTACTTAGTGAATATTTATTTATTTAAATATATGGTTCAAAACTATCGATGTTTTACATCAGATGTAGCATCTCGTATACCTATCGCATATATGATCTTTTGGTTCTAGATAGATGTAAAATTGTGTTTGTGACCACCACTAAACCTAAAAGTGCAACCCACTAGCTTGCACTAATAATTCCTTGGGTCTTCTTTCTTATATATGGTATGCATTCCATTTTATTTTGAGAAGATAATTTGAAAGGAAAAAATAAATAAAAAATAAAGTAATATTTGTTTGTATTTAAAGAAAATATATAAAAATCGAATCATTTTTAAAAAGTGTTGAAACAAGTGTTTAATTAGATAATTTTTTTCGAAAATAAAACTGATGTGGCGGCGGTAATTTTTTTTTTTTGAGGGAGTAGCAATTTAAAAATAATTAAAAAAATCCAAAATTATTGAAAACCTTATATTTGAAATATTTATATTTATATTTGATTTTTTATTTTAATCTTAAGAATAATTTCAATAATTTTGTTAGGTATTGTACCAATCGAATCAATTGAAGTATAGTGTTGTCCTTTTCCTTGACAAGTTTATTAAACGATGTGATATTTTCAATTATAGTGTAGAAAGGGAATCTTAATTCCATAATCAAAAACTTTTAGTTTTATGTGATAAGATGCTAAGAAAAATGTGTAGCAAGTGTCTTAAGAAGAATCAAAATAATTCATCTTAAATTTTAGTTTAATGACCATTCAATAATTAAGTGTCTTTCTTACATTCAATCATACATAAAACTAACAACTTTCAATTACATAAATTCAATTTTCTGATTTTCTTACATTTGGCACCTCATGCAGAACACCTTCTGAAACAAAAAATGAATAGTTAATCGTAAACAAAAAAGAGTAATTCTTTTTATAAAACATAAATTACAATTGTTTAACAAAATTTACAATTAAAGCCCTAAGGATATTCTGGTAATTAGAATCTATTTGATTCTGTTATTAATTATTATTAACTCTGTGAAGGTAAATTCGTCGGACAGAGAATTCCTGCGGGACGCTAATAATTATGCAAACAGAAATGATCTTTTTTGTTATTAAACCTTACTTTGGAGATATTAGTAATTATTAGAATTTCAATTTCATAAATAAAAGCCTAAAAATTTTAGGTTGAGACCTACTTTTCCCTTTTATTTTATTTAATTTTATTTTTAGCATACTTTTTGGGGGCACTATAGGCTTTTTGTTTGACCGCGAGGCACTAACTAGAAAGCAAAAAAAAAAAAAAAAAAAATTGTCCAGGTTCAATGAATCTAAAAATCTCTTCACTATTTCTAGTGTTTTTTATTGGGAAAATACATGATGATAATTTGTTTTCTAGTTTGTATATGAATGCACGTCAGATATATTTATTCATATAATTAAATAAATAAAATGAGCTAATATGGTTGAACTCAATCATTCAGCTGGTTTTTTTTTTTTTATGTTCCAACTATTTTCCGTGTGAATTTGATTTAGGAAAAAAAGAAAATTACACATTTTTTTAATTATATTAAGTTTTTTTTAGATTTTACATCGGATTATATTATATATGTTTAGATAAAATAAACCCTAAGAAAAACAAGAATAATAAGAAGAAAAGAAAATAAAAAATAATGAACCTAAAAAGGTGAAGGTTTAGTATGTCCAGGTTCAATGAATCAAGACAATCTGTCACCATTATTTGCTCTTTGAAATTCGCCAAAGAAAAGTAGAAAAGAAAAAGTCACCTTACTTTCTTTATTTCTTTTAGAGTAAAAAGCTTGCCCCTTAAATTAGTAAGAGGGTCGATTTGCACTTTACACCCAAACAAATAAATTTGCATGTGTTTATTTTAACTCGTTAATTTATTGTATGGTGTCCTCTGAACTCAATTTTTCGGCAATTTTAAGTGGAATGTTAAAATATGTGCTTTGCACGTGAGGTTTTTAGGGGTAAATTCGTACCTGCACTTGCATCCTTAATATTAAGTACAAATAAACTTTAAAAAACATTTTCCAAATATATAAGTTTTTCATCACGAACACATACGAATGTAGTATGTATGCGGAATATATATAGATCTATGCATAACAACCTCGTTGGATAGGAGAAATTAGCCATGACCAACTATATAATAGCACGCGGTTCGATTTTAGTGTCCATGATTAATTTGTCGGGTCGACCCGCAAATATTATATTATCGTCCTTATCTTGTAGGCATGTTTTTTTTTTTTTTTTCTTTAGTTTGAAAATGACATCTCATACAATAGCATAAATACTTGAGCAATTCAAGAAAGGATAGTGAGATATTGTTAGCATAAATATAAAATACTATTGCCTTTAATGATAAAAGCTCATTTCGAGAATTAATTCGATCTTCGAAAAAAATATCCGACAGTTAAAGGATTTGTGTGCGTAGGGGTGGAAATGGTTCCGTTGATTCCGATTAAAAAATATTCGAATTTGGGATCGCTTTTTTTATTCCAATTTCTGAAATTCTGGTTTCTGATTATATTTGGAATGGAATCGGAATTGTATATAAAATTATCGAAAATTTTGATTCCCGGTCCGGTTTTCGTTCCGAAATACATATATATATTATTTTTATTTTTGTTATGGATTTCTTGCATTTTGCAGAAAAAAAAACATTGAATTTTGTTTTTTTTTTTACTTCCTATATTATATCCAAATTTGGAATAAGAAATTATGATTTAATGCAATTTCCATTTTTTTCTGAATTCCGCCGATTCAGGAATTGTAATGGATTTTTGAATTCTTAATTTTTGGAACGGAAATTGGAACGCATTTTGACTTCCAAAAAAAAAAACTGAAAGATTTCAACAAAAGTCATTTCTGATCCGTTCCGTCCGATTTCCACCCATAGTTCATAAATTTCGTTGGATTTATTCTATATTATGATCACAAAAAAAATATCGATGTGGTGTCGGAATAACTTCTGTACTAAAAGAAGTTACGTTGTTCCAATTTGAGCTACGAATACTTTAGATTGTTGAATTTTGAAACTTAGGATTTAATTTCACAACAGTAAGTTATAATATAATTTAAATCATTGCTCTCCCAATTAAAACTATTTTTAATTAGCCATTTTAATGCAATAATAAAAGTTCAATTTCTTGAATATTATTATTATATATATTGCAGGTGGCAATTTCATTTGCAAAGATAATTGTGAGCTCAATAAAACCTAGTACAGAAGTACTAGGTAGACTCCCAGGTACAGACATTTTTTGCAACCAACTTCAATATCCAGTGGCCACCAAAATTCCAGGCATTTTAATTGTTCGTATTAATTCCGGAACACTCTGCTTTGCAAATGCTAACTTCATTCGAGGAAGGTATATACTTATTTCTTTATTTTTATTATAAATTAGTATTATATATATTTAAATTAAATTAATGCATGCATGCCCTTTTTAATTTTTGTTTTTTCTTAAATTCAGAATAATGAAGTGGGTGAAAGATGAAAATCATCGGTCGGAAGAAAGTACCAAGGGAGGACTTCGTGTAATGATCCTCGACATGACAAGTAAGTTATAATCGCGTGTGACGGTTTTGTAAATCATGCACACAATCACACACATATACATGCGGATGTGTGTAAAACTGGATAGTCGTTAGTAATCGGGTGTAGGTTCGAAAATAAAACTTGTGTGGCCAATTTATTTTGTTTGTGTAGCACAATAGAATTAGAGTCAAATGAAATTTTTAATTTACACATTTATATTTAGTTTAAGAATCTTTTAATGAATATAAATATCACACGAGAAAACAATGAATATTACCAAGATGTTATAAAGTTAGGGTTATTGTGACATAGGTGTAATCGGCCTAGATCCTTTAGATCGTTTTAATGAATGGAATAAAATCTCGATTATTGTTTAACTTAACAATTGATGTAGAACGAAAGTGTGAAAACGAATTAGTTTCTACGGATTAATCCTATAGGACAAAAGAACTCTGGAATCCATCATAGAATAAACAAAACTCTAAATATTTTATTAAAAAAATCGAAATTCAACTGCAAATAAAGTTATAACTTCTAAGCCAGCTATTTGCATTAATAAAAACTGAAAACCCTAATTAAATCAGAAAAATACTAAAAATTACTATAAATGGCAAAAATGAGTTAGAGTCGTCTGATTCTTGTAGATCTCGTATTTTGGGAACAACCCAATTTATGGAATCATTATCCGAATTTTCTATGATTTGTTCTAAAACTTTCCTAAAATAGCAAAAACGTCGTTTTGAAGGCCTAAATGTCTGATTGCCGAAATCTGACTTTCATCTTAAGATATGCTTAGAGAGTACTGATTGTTGCTCCGTTTCTCTTGAGATGGACTTCTTTTCGAACTCAAATACTAATATTATCCGAAAAACCCTATTTTTCTTCGGTATTTCCACATATTCCCGTTAATAATTCTTTTCATGTCCGATAAGATGTCCGTATCACAAATTTCAAGAATCAAATACGAAACTTTAAACACTATATCTATTTTTCTTGATATTTATAGACATAGTCATATATTGTTATTGACAAATAAGTTACCGTTGCAGATGTAATGAACATCGACACATCGGGTATTCATGCTATAAAAGAACTGCACAAGGAACTGATTTCGCGAGGGATAGAAGTGAGCACATAGTTCTCTACTTCTCTTTAACTTCTCTATAAAAAGAATAATTTATTTATTTATTTATTTTTGCAGTTAGCGATGGCGAATCCGAGGTGGCAAGTGATTACGAAAATGAAGGCGTCAAAATTCATCGAAAAAATTGGACCGGGTTGGATTTTCCTCTCTGTATCCGATGCTGTGGACGCTTCCCTTCGTCTGAAATCGAATGGCTTTAATAGCTGTTAAAAAACATAATATAATTTCCATTTTTACAATGGAAAAATAATAATTTTAAGATAATATTTGTATTACGTTGAATATGATGTCCAATGGTTTGAATTTGTGTGTAATATATACTTACTATTGATGTTTGCATAAGAATGTGAAGGGGAACGTTGATCGTTTTTCATTGCAAGAATAAAAGCTACAAAGTGAACTATTTTTGCAAGTTTTTGTATTTTGTGTATCTAATTTTAGTTGATTTCGGTGATTTTATAGTTAGTTTCAGTGGTTTTGTAGTTGATTTCGGTAATTTTTGTAGTTGATTTCGGTGATTTTGTAGTTAATTATGATTTGTGTATCGATTTATCGAACATATTCTTCAAAACAACACTCCAATCATCCATGCTTGTTTGTCAGGACGTACTTTCAGTTTAAACTGCACAAAATTTATGTGTTTGAAACACAGTGGTCTAGCATACTTCCTAATAACCCATATATGATTTTTTTTTTCTAAACCATGCATCCTTGTTACAACAAATAACAACAAACAACAGTAAGTTTTTCTTGTCTTGTTTTTTTCATCAAGTTGCTTTGTTGCAAGAGGATGATCTGGTTGTAATCTGAAATATATTCTTATTTCATGTTGGAAAAATTGGTTAAAAGTTGAGTTATGAACAACTTTTGATTAATATCATTCACCACAAATTGGTTTATATATATATATATATATATATATATATATATATATATATATATATATATATTGATATGCCTAATTCGGCCAACCCAATGGATTTACAATTTATTTATCTATTGGGCCACGAGCCCAATATTGAATACCACTATCATCGTGGTCCAATCACTTTCAAATAAGGTTTGGGCCAAACAATCTCAGCTAAGGTATAAATAACAATATAATTCATTTATTAAAGGTACGTCCTATTATCTGAGTAATACTACCCACTGTATTCTATAGACTGTTAGGATAGTAGACTAAAAGTATCGCTTCTAACTACATTTTTATTATTGAATTAATAAAATAGTTTATTATCATTTTATGAGAATCTGCACTAGGGTGTTCAATGCATTTACTTGACTGTTTGTAAATTAATTAAAAGCATAAGTCTAATATTCTAATAGTACGAAATGGTGTGCTAAGGCGCACAGAAAGATCATTTCGAAAGTTTGTTTAGAATATAAAGATAAACGTTCACAATCTAGATGGAAATGGACTAACCATTGGTAAAAGATTGTAGCACAATATTTAAGTGATTTGTCTTGATCACAGTAAACAGAGAATAACTTTTGTAGTTATTGTTTTGACTTATTGTGCTAGCACACCCGGCATGTGTTGAACCGGACAAAGTGAAATAATTGTTTAATCACTGTTCAAAATGAAACTGTATTATTTGACAGTAAATTACTTACTCTCTTGATCACTAGATAATTAACGTACGTATTTAATTGATGATCTCTACTTTGATGTCACAATGGGAGATATTCCTATATTGAGTCAAATGGCCCCCGGTGCGTTGGGTAGAGACATTAAGAATTAGTAGGTGGAAATTAATTATCGAAAGGAATCCACATCTCTGAAATATGAGATTGATAATAACCTTTGAGTAGCTTATAAGATTTTTTTATGTCAAGTCCTGACCAAGTGGATTTCGTATCCGGCATACTCAAATGTGTTAAGCGGGTAAGACTCATGAAAAGAAACTATTTAATTTATTTAGCAGTGAATAAATTATTTGGTGGTTATAAGATATCTTACTGTGGGGAGAATCTAAGTAATGATCGACCGGAGCTCGAATGTAATATTTGAGAATATAAACGGGAGTTCAATAATTATTTGGTAGTGGAAAATAAATAATTATTTAATGATTAATTAAATGAATTCTTTTAGGCGTTTGGATTTAACTAATTATTAGTTGCCCAATTGATATTTTCTCATTTAGTCCCTATTGTAGCCTAATGGATTTTCTAATCAATCGAGAAATAAAAGTTCAATAAATATTATATATTAGAATTAATATAGTCGAAAATTAAGTCCCTATTGATTTGAAATTTTCGACTATATAGAGTTACAAAAGGAGTGAGATGTGTTTCCATGTAATCCTCTCTATATGTGACTCTAATTTCTTGTGATATATATAATAGAGATTAGGTTAATGAGAGAGACGAATATTTCCGTACACGTCTATTTCAACGTTGCAAGAAAAAAATATTTTTCTCTTCTTATTTTCTCTCTAAGTTTCTCGATTATAGATTTAAATTTCTTCAAGTACAAGTCCACCCTTGTAGAAGAATTATTAATGCGGGATATAAAATAGAAGACTATAGGTTTTTAGAGCAAACTATTATTCACGAAATTTCTGAGCAGTCCTGCAAAGAAATTCACCATAAATCAACCGTTTGCCCGATTGGCTTGAAATGTATACAATAGCTTCCTAACCCATATAACTATAATCCGCCTAAAGGGTTTCTTAATCCGATCAACCATCTCGGAGATATCGGTGAATGAAGAGGGCTGTAAATTTCTGGACAGCAGTTTTTCGAGGATTGAAGGCTTGGTGTGGATCCTCGTTCGTGCGCCGAAGATAGAAACGAATCTGCTCGCGAAAATTGTAAGTTGCTAGATTAGATTTATTCCTCTTTAAACGAATCTAATCAAACCATGTTAATAAAACTAAAACCGGCTAATCTAGAACCTCTTGCGAATTTTCATTGAATCCTGGGCTTCACATCCCAACATGGACCATTTATACTATCCGCACGTGTGACTTGAGCGTCGGAGGGGTTTCCGCCGGATCAACCCCCGGCCTAGTTCACGTGTTCTATGATCGCAGGTATCCCAAGGTCATCAAGCTCGTGAGCCAGTGATCCGCTCTGCTCTTCCAGCTCATCTTATCTTAAATCCTCTAAGGTGATCTAACTCTAGCATCATCATTTTGGCGCCGTCTGTGGGAAGGCATACAAGATCACGTAGCGCACATGATGTCCCTGAGTCATCTACTCGGAGTGAACGTGCCAATGCTAACAACCTCCCACCTCGCGGGGGCTTTGACTTGCCACTTCCTCCTCGTAATCAGGAATCACCATATGATGTCCAGATAAATTTCCGCACTCGGGATCTTACACAAGTTCGCCCTCGCAAGGCCCCACTCGGTCCTCGACAGGATCAACAACTACTTTGCTCCTCGAACGTTTCAGATAACCGAAGCGCAACGACCACCAAACAAGTGTATTGTGAGCATCCACTTCGGACCATAAGTCTCGGATGCAACAACCCAAAGGGTTTCAAATCTCATCTCAAGAGTTGGGTATAATCTCTCTACCCCAAGGATAGAACATCCCCAAGGGATGGACATCAACTACCTCAAAAAAAAAAAAAAAAAAAAAAAATTCAGGCGTGTGCATCACGCGCAAGTGGGGCAGCCGCGCATTCTACCAAATGCCCGCCTCGGTTAGCGCTCAACAAAAAAAAAAAAAAATTCTGCACAGACCGCGCGTGGTGGCCACGCGCCAACGCGCGTGCATGCCATGCGCATAGTGTTAGCGCGCTTCCTTTCTCTCCGTGCACGCGCTAGCACGCCCTCCCTCCGCGCATGCAGCGCACGCGCCCGCACGTCTCCCGAGGCCGTCAAATCACGCGTGTCCTCTCTCTCACATCCTTCGGGCTCCGTGCCGGCTCCTCCTCACACAACAAAACGCGCGGCTTCTAGTCGCGCGTCTCCCCTCACATGGTAGTCGTGCGACTTGATTTCATGGCACGCCAGCCTCTTCCATTCCACCAAATCGCGCGCAGATTTCACCTTGCTTCACCAAATCGGCCGAGAATTTCAACGCGCTCTCCAACGCGCCTTACCAAATCGCGCTCTCTCTCAAACGGATAAATAAAAATTATTATTTATCCACGCCACGCCAACAATTAACGGAACAATACAACACCGATCTACTCTCGACAATATCAGGTACTCTTTTCAACTTGGCTTCCACATCGAATTGAGAGTGGGGGGCTTGCGAGACAACTCTCGCAAGGATACAACTCGCTCGGTCCTACGAATCCGTTGCGACAAATCCCACGAGGAGCCAACTCCCTCGTTACTACGAACCCGCAACGAGACAACTCCCACGAAGAGTCAACTCCCTCGGTACTACAATCCGCAGCGAGACAACTCCCACGAGGAGCCAACTCGCTCGGCACTACAAATCCGTTGCAAGGCAACTCCCACGAGGAGCCACCTCGCTCGGTAATACGACTCGCTGTGAGACAACTCCCATGATGAGACAACTCGCTCATAGCGACCTCAATCCGCGCGCTCCTTCATCGCGCATCATCCAACGCTACAACTTCGCTGTGATACAACTCCCACGAGCAGACAACTCGCCCGCAATTCACTACATAATCGCAAGCTCAAGTTAGCACGATTACAACCCTAGAAACACTTAGAGATATTATGGGAATCTATATAGCCTGGCCAGCTTGATTACTCAAATTTATCTACTTGTTTTCGACGGGTCCTTCATTAAAACGTGGCCACGGTCCAAACATACTTACGACCTACGAGGTCTAACAAGGGGCAGGATCTCTATAAAAAAATCTTGAGAGACTGATCCCCTCCTCAAGTACATCACGCACAAGCAACGCGTCAAAACATTGACAATGTCAATAAATAACAATTCCCACGAGGAGAATACTCGCTCCGTGCTACTACATTATCGCGAGACAACTCCCACAAGGAGATAACTCGATCAACTCTATTACCCCACGAGACAACTCCCACGAGGAGATAACTCGATCTGCGCTACTACATCGTCGCGGAATAACACCGACGACTCAAGTAACTTACATCACGACAACTTGGTCACGCTACGCGCAAATGCGCCTTCACGCCCCTCTGACAAACGCTCCAACGCGTTTTCGCACACCATTAGGCCATACGCCAACGAGCAACTTCTATAATTTTTACTCTCGACACGATCTGGCACCCATTTCAACATAACCCCCACATCGACTCGAGAGTGGGGGGCTTAATGATATACCTGATTGAGCCAACCCAATGGGCTTACAATTTATTTACCTACTGGGCCACGAGCCCAATATTGAAGACCACTATCACTGAGGTCCAATCACCTTCAAATAAGGTTTGGGCCCAACAATCTCAACTAATGTATAAATAACAATATAATTCATTTATTAAAGGTACGTCCTATTATCTGAGTAATACTACCAACTGTATTCTCTGGACCATTTAT